TAAGTTTTATGTACCATAAGCCAGGAGCAGTACAACATGGTTTTGGAGAAGTGTCTCATTCCACAGTTGTAGGAGTAGGCTGCAAAGAAAGGATTGCAGAGTGTTGGAGACTTTATTTTTATGCATGATGGAGTAGATGATATTAAAAAATTAAAGATAAAGAACAAATCCTAAAAAAAAGAAGGCATTTGTTTGAAGAGCAAATGAGAAATATATTTTGAATTGGAAAACATACTCATGTTTGTGGATTTTTGTTGAAAATTGTTGGATTGTTTTGTTGGATGTTTGTGGAAAATGAGAAAAGTGAAAGACAAGGAAGAAGTTTCCTTAAAAGACTACCTTAGTGAAAGAAAAGGATGTCTTTCACTAAGCTGGTCTTTTAAGATATAAAAAATATTATTAGATAGGAAGAAAAAGAAGGATAACAAAATTATATAAAAATCAGCAAGTTATATAAGAATGATTTATTTAAGTTTTAGTTTAATTGAGTTCTAACGATTTCACTAAGTTCTGCCAGTTACACTAGCAATGAATTAGGCAAGGAAACAGATATTGACTTTGGTTCTAATGAGCATTATAATGTTCAAAATTCTGTTCTTTTTCCTAAAAATATTCTTCAGTCAACCGCTCATTCAGAAGTGGGAGAAGGTAATACACCGCCAATATACAATATTGATTAGTAGTGTTATTGTCATGACTAATGGTTCTGTAGCAAGCTTAATTTGTTCTAAATCCACATCTTATAGAGCTGCAGAGAACATAATATCTATCAGGAGTAAAGAAATAAAATTACATAAAAAAAACTGTAATACCATCAGATTCACTAATGACTATACACTTTGACAGTATAATAGTTAATGGAGTGGAATTATTTAGCAGTTTAAAAAAGATAGATTGCAGTTTTGGTAAGGGTTGATGAGAAAACAGAACTACTTGGCATTCCTCCAATAGATTCTTGTTCTGGGTTTAATCAAAAACGTGCTATTGTGGAATTGATGGAGTTTTTTAGATAAAAAGATAAGGTCAGTTGTCTCTCTTTTGACACAATTTCAACAAATACAGTAAGATGGCAAGGTACTTGCATGAGATTAATTCAAGAAGTTCAATGTCCATTTTTGTTAATTGCATGTAGATATCATGTAATTGAGTGACACACCCAAGCAGCAAAACTTTTGGTTCAGAAAACAAATTATTTGAAGTTCTAAAACAAAACTAGAATGCTGAAGCTAAGGAATGGAAGTCATTAATGATACCATCTGTAACATTGATATATAATCAAAAATTAGCTGCTGTTTAGTTTGCCATAATGTGATCAGTTTATAAAGGTTTTTAAAAATGTGATTTTCTTACTATTGTTAATTTTATTAATTTTATCCCTATTCATTCTATCTTTTAAAAAGTAACAGTTATTACAAATTTAAAATATACTCAAAACGTTTTTAGGTCAGAAATTTAAGATAAGAATACCATCAGTTAGCTAAATTTACTTTAATGGTTCTATCATCAAATAGGTTTAAATTTAACTAATCAGGACTAGTTCACCATTTAAGATTTATTAATTTTAAATGGTGAAATTTTATACTATTCAAAGTTGTATCTTTTAATAAATGAAATCGAAAACCTGACTGCCAAACATAAGAAAGAAATCATTGGTATGGCTTTATTAATTTGCTTTTTCTATAAAGTTTTTAAAAGCAAACTTTCTTAAAGAGTTAAGTTCATTTTGGCACCAACACAGATATCAATCATTTAATATTTTATTAATGAGTTAGAAAGCTTATTGTTGATTAAAGTGATTCAAAATGTTATTTAATATTATTTATTAGGATATGAAAATTTACTGGCAAATGAAAATGTTTCAGGAATGAAGTTTACTTGGCTCTTGACATGTTAAAAGCTCTATTTTCAGACACACTTGGTGTGATCTCACTTTGATAATTTTTATAATAGCAGATAAAAAATGTAGAGAAGGTTGTGATATGGCCAAAAAACTGTATAGTTTATAAAGATATCCAAGTGACTTTAGTCCAAGTGATTAAATAGCCTCAATTTTAGTAAAGATGAGCCTATTAGTTTGAGTCCATTAATTACAGAAAAGTCATGGCTAGTTTTTGACATGCTTAGGCAGAAACTCAATCAATGAAGACTCTACTTGAATATTAGAAATTCAACAATTTTTAAAAGACTTGATGGTGTTATTTACTGCTCTGAGAGGGCAGTTCAGTTAGTTCAAGATCTAATAAACAGAGCATATTCTGAGGAAAAAAGGCAAGACACCTTTCTCTTTAAAAATAGTTAAAAGAAGAACAGAAAAGGCAGGAAAAAAATAGATTACAAAAAAGCTGCTAGTACAGATAAGTTCTGGATTTTTTAAATATGGTCTGGATGATCTATAATATATATACATATATACATATATACATATATACATATATACTTATATATATATATACTTATATATATATATATATATATATATATATATATATATATATATATATATATATATATATATATATATATATATATATATATATATATATATATATACACACACAAATATATACAGCCCTCGGAATTAGGGTCGGCATTTGGCAATGCTGACCTAACTGCTATCTTTAAAATATTTGAGGTCGGCAAAAAATTGACAACCTTGTTTTTACTTTTTTTTTAAAAAACTCCTTTGTCAAATTATTTTTGTCAACTTGATGCCAACCTCTAACAGTTTGAAATCAGCGATTTTTTCCGACTTCATTTTTCCTAATTCCTAATTGCTGATCTTAAAGTGTTTGAGGTCAGCAATAAATTGCTAACCTTGTTTTTTTGTTTTTTGATAACCATTTAGTGTCAATTTTTTTTTGTCGACCTTATACCAACCTGTAATAGTTTTATATATATATATATATATATATATATATATATATATATATATATATATATATATATATATATATATATATATATATATATTACATTTTTTTATAAATTATCAACTTTTATTTAGATTATATCAACTTTAGTGACGAGTTAAGTATAATTAAAGGTTTGTTAGTTGGAACTCTAAATATCCTGAATAAGGTGTTTACACTGTTTTTTAATGTAAAGCCAAATGAGTTCAGTGTTGGTTTGAAAAGTGTTCTTTATTTAATTTTGGATGATAGTTATGGGGATTATAGTAACAAAAGTCTAAGCATTTGGTTTCACCAAGATGGCTCAGGAAAGCTTGTTATTTTTGCTGGACTGAGTGATAATGCTAGCTACTACATTGAAACAACTCCTCTCTTGTTAGGTCAATGGTCATCTGTTAAAATATGTCAAAGTTTCTTTGATAGCAACTACTGGTTGTCTGTTGATCTGAATGGAGTCAATATTTATACTGTTAATAGTTCTGATGTTAGAGATTTCAAACACGTAAAAGTTTATGCATCAAATCTTTGGAATGATACTCAAAATGGTTCCATTGTTGATCTTTTGATAATGAATGGCAAAGTTGGTAAAAATATTTTTTCATCAATTTAATTTTGATTTATTATCATATCAGTTTTTTATTTTTTTAGCAAAAGAAAGTAAAGAAAAGATAAAGTAATACAAAAAGAAAATAATAATAAAAAAACAATAAATAGTACTTTTTATAAATTCAGTTTTTATAAACTTATAAAATAAGCTCATAGAGTACCCAGGAAAAGAAGTTCTATAGAATTTCTTTAAATTTTTTAAAACATATGGCCTATAGAAATTCTATAGAATTCTATAGAATTTCTATAGAATCTTTGTTAATTTCTATAGAAATTTCTACTTTTTTTTTCCATAAAAAAAAAGTTTTATAGCAATTTCTATAGAAACTAATAGAAGTTCTATAGAATTTCTATTCTATATTTTATAGAAATTCTATAGAAATTCTATATAATTTCTGTTGGCCAAATGTTTCAAAAATTTATAGAAATTCTATAGAACTTTTTTTCCTGGTTAAGGATGCCATGAGAAAAGATGCCACGAGAGAAGATGCGATGAGGAGCAGGTCCACCTTTAACTAAAATGTATTTAAAGATTTGCTAGACTTATAAATGTTCTTATATAAATGACAAAAAGAAATATAAAGACGGGACTCAAAGAAATTCTGCTCAGGTTGAGTTGAAATCTTCTCTAAACTATTAAAATGAACTAAAAAATAAAACTAAATCTACGTCATTATTAAAAATAAAATAAAACTACGTCAACACAATTTTTTGATAATATTGCTCAAAAATAATGCTAATGTGTGGTAAAGATTCATGCCAATATCTTCATATAGTAAATCTAAGTTATTCTGGCTAAGGCTAAGTAAATGTCAGTGAAAAGCTATTAATAATAGTAATAGTAATAATAATAATAATAAGAATAATAATAAGAATAATAATAATAATAATAATAATAATAATAATAATAGTAATAACAAAGATAACAATAATAATTAATGATATTAATTATTATTTTCTAATATTAATTATTAGTTTCTAATTTTACCCTAATTTGCATTTGAGTTATTATACTTATTTTTCATAATTTTTTAATTTAGAGTACCTTGTTGGTAGTGTATTAACCCCATTGGTGAAAGGAAAAGTCATTGCTAAGATACCTAAGCTTGACAAAGAATATTTTATTTCATTTGATTTTCTTCCTAATATGTTTGTTTTTGGTTTGCATAGTATTATTTGTTTTACTTTGAGTTCTAAAAGTTGTGCTTTTGGTATTTTTATAAATCAACTTCATGATGGAAACATCCTAATTCTTGATTCAATTTACAATAATTCTAACCGAGTTGACATCACAAATCAAATTGATTCAAATGAGTTTTCAAACATTGTTGTAGAACAAACTTTCATCAGAGACACAACTTATGAATACACAATCAGAATAAATAGAGAAGTTGTATTTTTCAAAATGAATGACCAACCTGAAAGTTATAATGATGTTTTTGTTTATTCTTCAGATCCATACTTTGAAGTTCAAAATGGTTTAATAAAAAACTTATTTATTATCAATGGTAATATAAGTAAGTTTTTTTCGTTTTAAATGTATTTTTAAATTAATAAAAATTTTAATAACTTATAAATGTTATAAGTTATTAGAATTTTTATCTGTCTGTCTGTTTTTATCTTTATTGTCTGATCTGTCTTTTCAGATTTACTGTTTTTCATATATTTTTCAATTTTATAGTTTTATAATGATAGTCATAAGAACACATTTTTTAATTTTTAATCATAGTTATAAGAATATGTTTACAAATGTTAATAATATTATTTTATAATGCGTGTTTTATATATAATGTAATTTTAAGTATGTTTATATAACCAATTATGTTATTGTATGATAGTGAATACTTTAGATTAAACCAAATAATCAGATTGTTTTTTTGCACTAAAGTGTTTTTTCGGTGTACACTTTAACAAAATCTATTAATCCTGTACAAATGGTGTACAATGTGATAAATTTATTTACTCTTTTTTGTGTTAATAGTATTTTATGAAAAACATATTTAGTATAAGATTTGTCCTAAGCAGTTGTCCAATGATGAAACAATGAAGCTGTTTGAACCCAATTTATATAAAAAAAATATTTTTAATTCTTTTTGTTAAATTCACACATTTTGTTAGTTAACTTTAATCAGTACATTACCTTTATCTTTATTCAAAACTTTATTCTTTTTCTTTATCTAGTATCAGCAGTTTAGCCTGTATCTGTAAACTGTATCAGACACTGCTAGTTTAGTCTGTATCTGACACTGCCAGGTTAATCTGTATCTGACACTGCTAGTTTAGCCTGTATCTGACTCTTCTAGTTTAGCCTGTATCTGACTCTGCAATCTGTATCTGAAACTGTAACCTGATGCTATCTGACTCTATCTGACATTGCCGGTTTAGTCTATATCTGACACTGCCAGTTTAGCCTGTGACACTGATTCTTATTTTGACTTTATATTTATAATTTTTTGTTTTGGCATTCTGTTTTTTTTTTAAGTTTTTATACGTTTATAGTTTACTATTAATTTAACAATTTATAGATAAACACTTAAGATCATATAAAAATTTTGGTAATAAATTAATTATAATTAGTTATGATAATTAGATTTTGATAATTAAATTTTGATTGATTTTCAATTATCATTATGTTTACTAAATGTATAGAAAAAACAACTAAACTAATTTTTAGAAGAAATTGTGTTTTATATTTGGCATACATAAAGACAAACATATATTGTATTATGACATATATAAAACGAACTTTAAATTAGTTTATGGTGGCATTTAAGTAGGAGATCTCAAGACCACCATATGCTTTTGTCAATACTTATTGAAATAAATTATCAATTATTATAATAATAAAAAAGATAAAAAAATAAATTGATTGAATAAGGGAGCGCTCATAAATGTATTCGTAATCCAGAAAGTTAAAGGAACTTTAATATGAATAATGTGAGCATTGGGAACTAGAGTTTTTTTATCTTCATGAGTATTACACTGACACATTACTCAAAAATGAATCTTTCATTGATTTTTAATCTGGCTTTGACCAATAGAATATAATAAATACAATTTATTTTAATTAACATGTTTATATAATAAATAAAATTTAATTTAATTTAAATTAATATAGTAAAAAAAATTTAATTTAATTAACATGCCAAGGCCACATTGGAGCCCTTTGTTATGCCTTAGGGTTTATTAGTGGAAATGAGGCAATTGCTTGGGCTATAAAACAGTGTGCTAAGTACTGTCTATGTTTCGAGTCAAGTTCTTTAACAAATTTAAAAATGAATAAAGTAACAAAAACTATAAAACACAAAAAACCACAGTCATCACCAAGTTCGCTTAACCTATCATTCACCAATATTCATGGTCTTTGAAGTAACTTTTCTTCTGTTGAGTCTTTTCTCTTGCAAAGTTCACCAGACTTACTTGCTCTTTGTGAGACTAATTTGAGTTCAGCTGTCTCATCTTGTGATCTTAGTGTTGATGGTTATCTTCCTTTAATTCTTAAAGACTCCAATAGTCACATGCTTGGCCTAGGCATTTACATCTTTCCGTGATTCTCTTCGTGATGGCCCCTGGGTAGAAATCTTTCGTCTTCCTGTTGACAAGTGTGCTTCTTACATAACTTCGTGGATTCAGGCTGGCATGGAATCCTTTATTCCCTCTTGACAATTCCAGGTCAAGCCTCACTCTTCTCTATGGTTTTCCTCACATTGTGCTGCTGCAATTGCCAATCGAAACCATTACTTCCATATCTATCAGCAAAACAATTCTCCAGAAAACAGACATCTGTTTATTACTGCTAGGAACCTTGTAAAAAGGTTTTGTCTAACGGCTGATTTGCTAACAGTAATAAATGGTTTTATCTTGCATTAGATAAAGGTGGAGAGGTTAAGGCTATCGCTCTTGACATTTCTAAAGCGTTTGATAAAGTTTGGCATGCTGGTCTTCTCCATAAGCTTTTTTCTTACGGTATCTGGAAACATCTTTAAGATTATTAAATCCTTCCTTTTCAATCGTAGTATAAAAGTTGTCCTTGATGGACAGCACTCTTCTTCTTATTCTGTAACCTCAGGGGTTCCTCAAGGTTCAATCCTTGGCCCTATACTCTTTTTAATTTACATTAACGATCTTCCAGATATTCTCACATCTAAGGTGGCATTGTTCCCTGATGATACTAGCATTTATTCTTGTCACGATAAGAAGCCAACTCCCTCTGATTGCTTGCAAGGGGCATCTGAGCTTGAAAAGGATCTCACTTCTGCTACAGCATGGGGCTCACAGTGCCTGGTGAACTTTAATTCAGATAAAACTCAATTTTTTTCAGCCAATTGTTATTGCAATAATTTAGACCTTCCTACATTTATGAACGGTAATGTACTTGATGAGTCTCCTACCCTTCATCTTCTAGGATTAACTCTTACTTCTGATCTTTCTTGAAAACCTTATATCAAATCCGTTGCGAAATTAGCATCTGCTAAAGTTGCTTCTCTTTATCGAGCTTATCACTTTCTTACTCTGGATTCTATTCTTTATCTCTATAAATCTCAAATTAGACCTTGTATTCAATACTGTTGCCATATCTGGGGTGGATCTTCTAATGATGCCCTTTCTCTTTTAGACAAGGTGCAAAAGCGCATTGTAAACATAGTTGGACCTGCTCTTGCAGCCAACCTTCAACCTCTGTCACATCATCATAATGTTGCTTCTCTTTCTCTTTTCTACAAATATGATAATGGGCACTGCTCTAAAGAGCTATCGTCTCTTGTGCCATCTACTAAAATTCATTCTTGTGTTACTCGTCATTCAATTAAGCCTCATCATTTTTCTGTTACTGTTCCTAAGTGCTCCAAAAACTCTTATTCATCAATTTTTTTTCCTCGAACATCAGTTCTTTGGAATTCGCTTCCTTTATCTTGCTTTCCTGATTCATATAATTTGCAATCTTTTAAGTCATCTGTCAATCGTTATCTTGCTCTACAATCTTCATCTTTTCTCTTCCAGTAACTTCCAACACTAATTAGTGGTTGCTTACAGCCTTGTTGGAAGTAAAGATGATGAAAAAAAAAAAAAATGTTTAATTATAGTACTTATGTAAAATAAATTAACTGTATTATATATATTTACTTATATTCTTTATATTTAATTATATTATTCAACCCTCGGAATTAGGGTCAGCATTCGGCAATATCAACCTAACTGCTGACCTGAAATTGACCTTGTTTCTATGTTTTATGGTCAGACCTTTGTGTCAAGTAATTTTTGCCGACCTGATGCCGATCTCAAAAAGATTGAGGTTGGCAAATTATTGCCGACCTCATTTGTCCTAATTCCAAGGGTTGAATATTTATATGTAAATATATAATTTATATGTAATTATACTAATTATGTTAAATAAATTAAATTATATTAACAATATTTAACTGTTTTAGTTATATTCAATAAAGTTAATTATGCCTAAATATGTTAACTATGTTTAATTACATTTTTATCTTAATTAAATTTAACTATATTAGTTATGTTCGATAATTTTAATTATATTAAATCTTAATTTATATTAATTGTAATTAAATATAATAACTTATTAATAAACTTAATAATAAGTTATTTATATTTAGTTATATTCATTATATTTATGTTTATTATATTTAAATTATTAAATGTTAATTGTATTTATATATAAATAATATAATAAATTATATATAATTTTTTTATTATTCTGATTCACTTCCAACAAAACTGAAAGCAACCACTATTAAGTTGGGAGTTACTAGAAAAAAAGAGTTATACAGCAAGGAAAGTTGTAGGTTGTATGAGTCAGGAAAACATGCAGATAGGAGAGAGTTCCAAAGGGTTTAAGTGTAGTGAAAATAACTAGACAACTAAAAGTTTTTAGAGCATGTAGGGACAAAAACAGTAAACAAATGAGACTTTTCTGAATGACAAGTCATGGGTAAATGAGTTTTAGTTGATCAAATTAATGATGATAGCTTCTTTGAGCAGTGGCCATGATTGTATTTGTAAAAAAGAGAAAGAAGTGCAACTTTATGATATTGGGAAGAAGGTTCAAGCTTAGGAGATAAAGCTGGTCCAATGCATTTTTGACAAAGTTTAAAAATATGTTTACAATGCATTTTTAGACCTTGTCTAAAAGAGAATCATTAGATGAACTAATATGACAACAGTATTCCATACAGGGACGAATAAGAGATTTGTAGAGATAATCTAAGAAGACGTAAAGAAGAGGACTCAGTGAGAGGGTTGCCATTCATTAATATAGAAATGTCAACAGTGGTGTATATTATGTAATGTCAGTTTTGTTTATTATGTTAGTTATATTTATATTAATTATAATTATTTAATTTTTTATTTTAAAATATAATTATGCTAAGTATGCTTTTTTAAAAGGTTTTGAAAAAATGTTTATTTATTTTAACTTTTAAAATTATTTTTAGATAGTAGCATGCAACCTGTTATTCTTCTTTACCCAGGTAATTAAACCATTATTTTTATTTTATATATATATATATATATATATATATATATATATATATATATATATATAAGACTAGGTCAGCCCAAAGTATTATATATATATATATATATATATATATATATATATATATATATATATATATATATATATATATATATATATATATATATATATATATATATATATATATATATATATATATATGTAATTTGCATAGATATATAAAATATATTTGAGGTTAAGTATTTTGATGTAATAACACTCTTGTATGTGTTACAGTGCTCATTATTTTTAAATAATAACAATAATCTGTTAACAAATGCTATTACCACTACTTACAAAAAAGGAAAATCAAAGTTAAAAGACCATATAAACAAAGTAAGAAAAATTTTTTTAACCAACCATGAGGTATATAAAAAAATTGAAATGAATGGATCCTCTAACTGTTTTTTTACTTTGAAAGACCACAAGAAAAACTTTATTAACAACCCATCTAGTCACATAATGGTAAAAATCTACTGAATAAAAAAAACCCGAAATTTCAAAAAAACTCTTATCTTTATTTGAGACGGGAGACTAGTATTTGTTCGGGTGATGTTTAAGTTATCGGACAAAAGATAAAGGTCAATAACTTATTTATAAATGAAAAAAAAAAACTATAATATTTTTTTAAAATAAAGTATTTATCTTTTAATAAAATTAAGTTATTTTTTAATGAAAAAAACACTACCATCTGCAATTGATCTCAATTTTGCTCTGGCGCCTTTCATAAGCGACTGTAAAAAATTTAAGTTGATAATAATTTTATATATATATATATATATATATATATATATATATATATATATATATATATATATATATATATATGTATATATATATATATATATATATATGTATATATATATATATATATATATATAATTTTTATTGTCACAAAATTGATTGTTGAAAATGTGAAAAAGAAAGTTTTGCAAGTTGTTGCATGACTGATTGTTGAATAACAGAATAAAGAATAATGTCGCAATTGAATTTATTGAATAGTGTTATAATAAAAAAAAAAGGATAATATTGCAAATGAATTAAAGGGATAGTGTCAAAAACAAAAAAACGGAATAGTGTTGCAAATGAATTTAAGGTATAATCTTTGATTTTCTAATAGTTTGACATTTTTTTTTGTTTTGAGGTATTAAATATTTTTTAAGGATTTTTTAAGACCTTTTGTTACCCATGGTTATTCTAGACTTTTGTTTGTTTTATAAATGATACATAATTAGAGGTTTTTATCATAAACTTTAAATAGATATTCCTTAAATGATAAAACATTTGTATCATTTGTATAAAGAGTTTGATAATGACCTGTTTTTCCTGAAATATTAAATCTATATTATTATTTGAGGGGTTCAATGGAAAAGTGGTTTAACCCACATTTTAAAAATTTTCCAGATAATCACTGCCAACAATACATTGAGTATGTAGTTTGTTGTGGAAAAAGTACCGAACCCCAAAACCTTTCCATACAGAGCTGCTACCCAGTCCACCCACTAAATTATTTTAAAAATTAATTAAAAATTAAATTAATTAAAAAAATTAGCAAATGATCTAATGTCTCACTTTTGATTTTTTTTTTTTTTAGTAATTTATTAGATATACCAGTTGTTATAATATTGTCTTTAATTAAATTCCATTAATATAAAGTTAAAAATGAGAAATTCCGTTAACTTTATAAAATAAATAAATGTAAAAAAGTGGTCAAGTAATAAATAAAAAATATATCATTAAAAAAATAGCAACAAGCGCTATTGGGTTAACATATTTTTCTAAAAAACAATTCTTATTTATTAAAAAATAATGAGTTTTTTTTTAATATATTAATTTCAAAAAAGATAGAGATAAATGAACTTAGTAACTTTGTTATTCTTTTTATTTTTGATCGTAAGATTTTTGTTTTGTTTTCTGAAGATTCATGCTACAGAAAACAAAACGAAAAAATATATACTTTGAAAAAATAAAAATAAATAACTTAAAACATTTTTTTCTTTAGTCTGTATTCAATATCACATATATATCTTCTAGTGATGAATATCAAGATTTATTGAAATCCTGATTTCACTTGTAATTATCTCTACAGCAGCCTTTATAAACTACATTTTTAGTAAGATCTTGATTTTTTTTTGGATACAATAAAAATCTATAAAATACACTAAATTATACTTACCAGATTGTTCTCCAAAAAAAACTTTGTAGAGTATATAGTTGATAAACATTACTAAGCTCTGTCTTACTGTGCGATTGGAAAAGTATAAATAGTTCACTGTCTCTTCATTGCTAAAAACAACGTGTCTCATTAGCTTCTCACCACCCCCTACCCTTTATATATATATAAATATATATATATATATATATATATATATATATATATATATATAATATATATATATATATATATATATATATATATATATATATATATATATATATATATATATATATATTGTCAGTATGTTCATGTTATCATAATAACTCATTGCTTGCATGAATTTTTAGTTTGCAAGTAGAAGAATTCAAAATTAAAATAAAAAATTCATAAAATATGTCATTTGGTCATGTGACTTGGGCAAAATGGTTTATTATGCAATTTCTGACTCCAATTTTATTAAGTATTCTAATTAAAGAAACACTAACGGAAGCCACAGAAAATTTTAGAACATGCCGTCGTAACTTAGATTGGCTAAATCCTAAGACCTTGGCAGTTGTTCAAGAATACAGGATACGAAAAATTAGAGAATCCCTGGAGAATAATAAAGCGAAAGTTTGATATGAGATAGGTATTGGGGAAGGTGTTCTAAATTGTAATGACAGGGATAAGGTTAAAAAAAAACTTGGGGACCCATTTTGACAAAAATTTAACTGTCATCATTATTATATTATTTAGTTGATTTTTATATTTGATCCTTTTTAATGTCTTCTTTTTAAACGGTTTGTTTTATGTTTTTTTGTAACGTTTTATTATTACCTGATGACGCTGACTACAATTGGTCAGCAAAATATCGTTAATATATTTTTACATTAAAATATATTTAAAAATAGTTATATACTGCCTTTTATTAAAATCAGTTTATATATTTATTAAAATCAGTTATATATATATATATATATATATATATATATATATATATATATATATATATATATATATATATATATATATATATATATATATTTATATATATATATATATATATATGTATGTATATATATATATATATATATATATATATATATATATATATATATATATATATATGCATATTGTCATGATGTTGTCAAAATGTATATATTAATGTATATTATATATACATTTTGACAACATGACAAAATGTTTATCACAGCAAAAACTTTGAATAGAACTTTTACACTTATATGTGAATAATTTTTTAATTAATAGTTTATAAGTCATAGTTCTTATATAAATATTGATCAAGATAAAGTTTCCCACCGTATATAGTTTATGAGATTTTAAAGGTATCAAAATGGACCCATTTTTGCCTCTAAAATTGTTCAAAAGTGATATTACTGTAGCGCTATTCTTTTTACTATTCGTGACACTATTCTTTTTTTTTCTCTTTGACACTATTTATTATATATTACAATTCATTATATATCACAATTCTTTTGTGACACTAATCCTTTTTTTTATTTTTGACACTGTTCATTAAATTCATTTGCGAACTTATTCTTTTTTTATTGTGACATTAGGTCTTTTTAATATTGTCAACCTCAAACTGTTAGTGGTCACCATCAGGTCGGCAAAAAAAATTTGACTCTAAGAGGTTACCAGACATAAAAACAAATTAAGAGTTTTTTTATCGACCTCAAACACTTTGATGTCAAAAAATTATTTTTTCTTGATAAAAGTATTCGTGCCGATTGTTCAAAGTTACGGTTTTTATGATTTTTGACTAAATTTAGAGCATTTTCCAAGCATTGGCGCGAATAGATTCTGATATAAAATCCAGTTACTTTGTTCAATAATTTTTTCCTAATGTGTTCCTGTACCAGAAAAAAACTCTGCGCCTAATAATTTAAGAAATATGTTGTAACTATCTTTCACTGATTGCGATAGATAAATAACACTTTGTCTATTATAAAAGTGATTTTTTGTTGATCTTTGAGCTTTTTTTCAGTCATACAACAAATTTTATGAATTTTACCTCATTTCCGTATCAAGTGATCTTTTTTGAAAAATACTATTACTGGAGCCTTGGATCAAATAAATCCAAATCCAAAATGGTTTCATTAAAAGGTTGCGTAAATGACTTTCGATCTTTTGTATAAACAAAACTAGATCAAAATGTATCAATGTGATTCAAAAATATATACATTTTTTCTGTGGTTATTTTAGGTGCCCCAAGAAGACCTAATGGTTGCATCACAGACCACCGCAGAAGAGCATTAAACTTGGAAGTTTCCCCTTGCTTTATGTCAAAAAAAGCCTAGAGTAGGCATCGAACCACAAATTAGTGAAGGATCTAGCATTTTTTGGTATTTGAAATAAAAAAGCCCTAAAACTTCATCCCCCTGCCCGTCAGAGCAATATTAGTATAATAATTTTTTTGCTATTCTTAACTAAGTTTATATTCATCAATAAATTTTAAGTTTCATTGTATTATCTCTCAGTATTTATAAATAATGACCATTTAAAGTTTAAACCCCCCTCAATTTGAGGGAGTTACAAATTTTATATGGTCATAATTTTTGAACGCCTTAATCGATGTATATAAATTTAGTTAAGAATAGAAAAAAAATTATTTCATCAACTTGCTGTTCTGATGTTTTTGGCAGGGGGGATTATATTTTAGACCTTTTTTTGTTCCCAGCCTCCAATCGTTGCAACTTTTTAAAAAGCATCATTATTTGATATAAGTATAAACATGCATATGTTTGGATTTTACTTCATATTAGCAAAAACACCAACACCAAAAATTGCTGGAT